AGTAAATACCTATGTTTCACAAATAAACATTCTGATTCTGATCGTTTTTGACATTTGGATAAAAGTATTGAATTTGACTAGTTGGAAACCACCGTATTGCCGTTTGTCAGAGTTGTCTTATCAAGTGTGTACCTATATAACTACGTAAACTTAACTGGGGAACAGTCACATTGGTACTTACCATCAAACATGATAAGTTGCTGTCTAACGACGTGGTGGTCCGAAAGTTATACGTACATTCTTTATTGAGGCACCACTGACAAACGGAAAACGTCATAGGACACCTTGACTTGTAATTTCTAAAAAGGTTTCAGTTTGTATTCGCCAATCCTCCTTGAGCAAGCGTGGAGATAACTTTATACTCAATCATTCGCTGTGAAAAAAGGCTTTTGTCCAGCAGTAAGCGCTTATAGTTTGATGAAGATAAAGTAATATAAAAAATGGTTTACTTTCAAGGACCTGTTACATAGCTCTTAGCTACAGGTTACCAGGTCAATAAAAACAAATTGTGGTTTTGGCAAATAGATAGGCAATTGTTGCGTGTAGGAACTGAACCCACAACACGCACATAGCGTTCAAACACAACCACAACTGAAAACTGGGCATTTAAATCTATATAAATGTATCTATACAAGGATAATCCAACACACAGCCTGAACTACTAAGGACTGAAACTTAATATTACACAAATTTATTGTTTTTATACAGCTTACAGTGTTCATTTTTAGTGTTTACTTGAGCTATCATTGTATTTCACAAGAAGTAAGAAGTAAAACATGTATTTCGAAAAATCCTTTCCAAATGATAGGTCAATAAGTTTCCGAAAGAAATTCTGTTTTTTAGCTCAAACGAAAGTGGTATAATTTTCAACAACGATGCGACCGAAACTCAGTTGCAAGATGAATATAAAATAATTGGATTATTAAGTATCTGTGTAAGGAGTTTATAATAAAACAACGTTTGCCATTTTTTCCATTAACATTTATTGTGACCTAAACAACGAGTTTGGAATCACAATTCACTACAGTAATACAATAAGAATTATGCAAGAACATCCATTTATTATCTAAATGATTATAATTAGATTATGTAATATCCAAAATCGTTTCATCTCACTAGAAAGAGGCCCATCGTAATAGTTTAATACAATCATCGAAGAAAAGCTACATTCTTGTACTCATACACTTACAATGTACACGTACATGATACATTAATACACACATTTATAAGTTCACCAATACATATACACAGTCATCATAGGACTAATCCGGTAAATTATTTATAAAATACTGAATGATCAATGTCTTACAACTAAACTGAAGTTGGGTTTAAGAAAATATGTTTTATAGTAATGCAACTGTATTATGATATTTTACTGATAATGGCATAAACAGGCATATTTTGATATACCTGTAAATACTTTGTACGTGCTAAAACGCCAATATAAGGCGCTGGTGCCCGTACTTGTGCGATATCCAACCCTTATTCCGATCATTAATATAATTGTAAATAATAATAAAATTATGTCGAGTTACAATATCAGAATGACTTACAGAAAGACTCCGATGATTTCCAAATTTGAAAATATCGCTGTTCCAACCTTATTTGACACGATGCGAATAAAGGCGCGTCAAATTAGTCTAGACACAGCGATGACCACTCTAATGACTAGTTAATAGAATTTACTTTACATTGGGAAAATATCTCAGTAGGTACAATTGCTTAAAAGCTCTCACTAGTATTCAAATCTCTCACTTTACTTGGCGATGCGGTTGCACTATACAACTCAACGATACGATATTTATGTGTAGATAATTCGTAAAGGCCGTCTCATTTATCTGTCAGTTTGTCATTGAGTTTCTATCAAATTCGTCGTTATGAAAAAAGTTTCCCGCAAAAATATAGTTGTATTTATAACTAGAACTGAAAATAGGGTATAGGGGGTTTGTGCGAATACATATCTTACAAATTTTAACATTCGTAAATTCGTTTGGTTTCGTTTCTTAATAATTATTATTATTCATTACATATTGTTGGTACAAAAATAATTTGAGATAGGTTATAGCATAAGGTTTAAGCCGGTCTTCACTTAGGCCGGTACAGCAAACTAAGGGTGCTTATATGTTATAAAAATATTCGTTTAGGTATATTGTTTTCGTTGGAATTGTTCATTTTAACAAAATCTAAACTATGAAGTTAGTTTTAAGAGATAGTTAAGGATTATTTTATGTGGACGAAATCATTTACAAAAATATATCAGCAGTTACCGGAGTAAGATTGTCATGAAAATAGACAAAGTATAGTTTTATATTATTTCTAACATTTCGCTCAGAATTTACGTTCTTAATATAAATGCAGATATGATTATAATCATATATTTCACTCTCTAGCACCAAGAGGGCTCCAAGTTAATTTCTAAGTCACCTATATCTCACCTTTTTATATATACTTCTTACTTGTATTTTACACTAACGTTGTTCAATATATAACATTTTAAAGCCAGGGCGACGTTGCGGACTCTCCGTAGCGACCACTATTAAGTTCGAAAGGTAGGGCACCACCAATAATTAAAAATAATTTTCAATTCCTTCAACCCTAATTTTTAATTTTGGCACTATGTTTATAAATATGTATTATACATTTCGAAATACATTATGACGTATGAATGATTTATGTATGTATTTTCTAATCACACAATGAGAACAACTTACTTGCCTCTCGACATTCTACGATAAACATTATAAGATTATTCAAACGTCAACACCATTCCGCTACTGAACAATAATTTGACTACGTAACACATATCTACACTACATTTTTTTTAAATTTTTTCAATTTACGGCAAAAGTGTAACTACTTTTTAACACGAGTTCTAATAACAACAGAATTATGTCATCAACAATTCTTTATCAAAGTCAAAATCTACTACATACATACATATACTATAAATCTGACTACCGTAGGTAATTAGTGTATATAAATTATATAAATATATATAATCGGAAAGTATGGATAGTAAAGAGGATGCGTATGAACGGTAAGACCAGTCACGTGTTACTCCAGCTCCTTACATTCTAAATTCAATTTTATATCGCACCTTGTAACCATTCCTTATCAGAACAATATCGTTAATATTCACTTTACAGTCTAGACAGTTCCATATAAAACTATGAAAGGCCTCACCTTTAATCGAAATGGAAGAATAATAGTTTATTTTTCTAACATTATTAATAGAGAATATATATTTTATATTTCTAAGAACTTTTTAATAAAATGTATAAGTTTATGATCTTAGCATATTGTGCGTATCTGCGTTCCCTTAGACATAAATATTTTAATAGTTAAACACTACCACATAATGTTATCCGAAGTACAACATCAAGATATACGCGAAGGAATGTTTAGATTACAATACCTCCATTGTAGGAGCGGTAACATGCAATATCATTAATTGGTACGGACAGACCCGCGGAAGCTGGGTTCAAAAAATCTTAATTATACATTACAATGTCTCTACAAAGACAACGTTAAGACATCAAGATAAAAGATAGTATTCTCCATGTTGAGTCACGGACCGTATCCCTCACGGTACTCAAGTATGACCTGAACATTAACGTTTTCTTTAAGTATATTGATAAGGTTAGAAACACTCATGCAGACATTTATGCGTCAAGCAAACCGTTCTACTGTATTTTTTATACACAATACATTCATATAGGGAGGTAACAATGGAGGGATTACGATGGTAAACTTATTAAATGAATCAAATAAAAGCAAATAAGGAAATATTTAATTAACAGATGGCGCCATTTGATCAATATTCACCTCAGCACGAATTAGGCCTTGAGATCCGTCATTCTCATTATACGTAGTTAATTGAATTTAAATTATATGGGATGGTTGGTTTTTTGAGGGGAAACCTTTGTTTTATAAACGTTAAACATTACATTACATACTAAATAAATAAGAATAGTTTCTATTTATAGATATGTAAATGCCTATGCATTTTACGTTTATAGAAATTACAAATTTAAATCTTAAATCTAACTAGAGGCTCGAGATAAGTCCTGTTAGAATAATTAAACTTAATAGAAGTAAATCAGTCGGTGCAAGTAGCACGGTAGTCTAAAACTAACACGATACGTCAACATACATTGGGACACACACAACTATAGGAAACTAACAGGGAGATTTAAACAGCCGCGGACAACAAAATATGTATGACTTAGAATTTAACTAAAAATACATACTCAACTTAAAGTTATGAAAACGGTTTGGTGGCAAAAGGAGTATTTTATGGGAGTTTTAGCACGCAACTGCAAGGAATAACAAAGCTTAGTGAACTGCTGGCTGGCGAAGTTGTAAGACTTTCCAACAGATGGCGTGATTTGATACTAACTGATTGTTCATCGTCTTTAATTTATTATACCAATGCGATAAATATTTATGAATTTGTATTCACTTCTTTATAGTTGTCATGTTAAATTAATAATCATTATATTGTAAAGGTTTGATTGCAAAAGCCAAACATTAGTTTGGAGTCAAATCTTAGCCAGCAAACAATTACATATTCTTTTATTAGAATTAATTTCCAATCACTGGCTTATCACACATACATATATATACGAATACCTGCACAACGTGCGAGACGTGTCGCTGCTACAAGTGTAAAGGTTCAGAAACACATAAGAAACAGGTTCGATACTACTTCACAACAATTATAAGAATAAAAGCCGCGAAGTAGCTGGGGTACGTACATTAAAAGTGTTTTATCCGATCACGCAAGCGAAATCTTCATTTAACTACGCACGTATGTAGTTGCGCTGAAATTCATATCAGGTGAATTACTCTCAGACATTAATGTACGAACTTAAGGAGAATGGTATATTAGAAAAAATTTTTTTTGATAATCTATCTAATTTGACTGAAAATCTATTTATATTATGTATACAGAATTACCAGCATCTTAGGTTAACTTTCGCAAAATTTTAGAATACAGTTAGCATATATACTATCTTGTATACTTAACAACTGTACAGGAATACTATGCCATTCTCAAACACAACATCTAGCAGTGTAAATAATGAGCTATGTTACAAATGCTTCAACTAACGAGCATGAGAAAAAAAGGTAATAATGTACTGAAAATTGGCTATAAAGTTGATTGATTGCTGCATGTTAAAAAAGTGATTTTCTTTCGTTTGCGTGACAAGCTATAAACACGGGACGGCAATTACATTCTGAGATCGGCGGGTACCAAGCGCTATTTGGAGTAAGTGCCACGGTTAATATTGTCAATATAATTAATATCTATTCTTTGAATACTTAGTATACGGTAACCGTAGCACTTACTAGTACTCAGCTAGAGTATTTGAACGGACTACTGCATACCACGGATACACTAATACAAAAATTGTATGTGGCAATGGACAAACGATATAAAATATATATTTTTTGATGGTCTTGCAAATTAAGATCGCTTTTAATTTTCTGTAATTGAAACAAAATACGTTAAAAAGAAGCAACAAGCAATGACAGCGACGGAATCTAATTCCGTTTAGTTGATAGCGTCGAGATACACTCCGGATGACACAGGAAGTGAGATAATAGTATCATTGACTATTCTGTTTGTATATCCGTCTATACACGATGCTGTTTGTCGTTATGTATCTGTCCATATCTATGTAAACATTTTGTAAGACCATTCAAATCAATATATTCATTCGCTTTTTTACATCGAGTACATAACTAAATTAATGGAAGAAAATTAATTTTCTCTTTAAAAATAAAGTTTTAAGATACTATTATTAATATCTTGTGTTGAGCATTTATATACAGCTGGTGACTCAAGCGCAATGGAAGGATAACAGAGCGAAATGGACGGAAAAATGAGTGTGAGAGAATATAGAACATAATATGATGACACATCGCTAATATAGAGATGTGAATTTACAAATGAGATCAAAATATAATATAGGTATACCTATTTTTATAATTAGGTATGATTCACAGTCAGTACAGTTCACTTCTAAATCAATCAATTATATTACTGTATGACTGTTACGTCCAGTAGACTTGAGACACGACATAACAACTGTAAAATCAAACAATTGTTAGATAAATCAAGATATATTTGAGTCATCATTTATTATGAGCTGGTACAGTCGACTGCAAGGTTATGTACTCGATGCTGGGAGAGACAGGACAACACTCACATAGTAGAGGCACGTGTGACAAGCAGCCAGTGGCTTAGGGATATCTTACGTATGCAATCTCGTATTCGTCGTTAGGGTAGTCGGAGGCTGGTACGGTGGGAGACCAGACGGAGCTGAGGTTTGAGGAAGACGATGACCCTGGGGGCGTGGACGGGTTCTTCGCGCGGCGGTTGAAGGGCGGCGTCGGCGAGCCCTTGAACGTGACCGTGTTGGTCACCTCGCTGCTAGACGAGGCGTCCGTTTCTGGTCATGTACTCTCCATACGGATCCTCAAGATGGCAGCGCGGCACATCGGACACTCCTTCAACTGGGAAGTGCATACGGAACAGAATCCCCTGGAACATTACAATATCCTAGTGTGACTATTGATCATATATTGAGTAGTAAACTCTTATTACTAAACTTTTTTTAAAAAGACATTGTTAGTTGGAAATTATAACAAATACTAAAATAAAAAGTTTCGGGATTAACGCATAAAAATCGAGTTAGAATTGAAATTGACCACCATAACTATAATTTACTTCACTAAGGGCTGATTATCCAACAAACAAATAAATTTTATCTGAGGAATAAAATTGTCACTGTCTTATACAAACTCTCTGACGCGACAGCATCATAATTATTCCCCAAGTAACTCTTATCAAACTATTGAAATATCAGCTCTAAATAGTATAGGACAAAGTCTATGTACGCTTAGATCTTTAAAACTACGCAATTGATTCTGATGCGGTTGTTTTAATAGATATAGAGTGGCTGAAGAAGTTTTTGATGTATTTTATCATTTATTAAATAGTAGAGACATTTAGTAAAAAGGGTCGCTAGTTAGAAATATTACAAAATACTAGTACTAGTGGACAGTACCTGTGTTGGCAGGGTTCTAGAATGCAGCAGGAGTCGGCGTCGAAGCAGAGTGTGCAAGCGTTCTCCTTCACGGCAGTAGCGCGGAGCAGCTCCAGGGTGATGCGGCGAGGCACCACCTGTTCGTACATCATAATTAGTATTTTTATTAAATACTAGCTACTCTCGCGCGGTTTCACTCACTGCTTGACTCCTATTCGTCGTAGCATGATGTCTTATAGCCTATAGCCTGCCGTTTCTTTTTCGTTCGTTCCATAGATTAGCGCGTTCAAACGGACTAACTCTTCAGCTTAATAATATTAGTATAGATTTATACAATATCCATGAACGCCCTGCGAAAGTTCTTACTGACTCTTTCGACTGTACCTTATTCATATATATGTAATGATTACTTATTTATATTTACAAACATTTTCATTTGAATAGATATCGAATTTTTTTAATAACAAGGTCTGAAATTTTAACAATCTAACTAACAATTAACGTACATATTATATCACATTGTATATTGAAGAATATTATTATAATTACCCTTTTCTCTTCGTCGGTAAGTGATCCATGTTCATTGAAGATCTTGAATGGACGATCGGGAGGGAAACGGAACTGTTCAACTCCGAAATTGAATCGGCACTGCTGGAACGCCATGAACGAGGCCGCAGCGAAGAAACCTTGACTGGGTTGTTTTATGTCAACGTTATTGGAACTATAACAAAACAATAAAGCCATTGCAAACCCCCATAGCGTTAGTAATAAAAGCTGTTAGTAAACTATTATATTTATAAAAGCAAGCTCGTATGAAGACTAATTATTATTAAAAAAGCCTTAAAATATTCACGCAGTACACGCAAGTGTCGCAAGAGCCAAATAAAGGCTACAGATTAGGTACATTACTTTTCTGAAAGAGTTTTTAACTGAAGTCTCCAATCCAGCTCCAAAGCATGGTGATTTTCTATTAGATACTCTGTTCAGTAGTGGATGTCTTCCGGCTGATGATGATGATAAATAGGAGGCAAAGGAACAGACTGATCACTTGATAATAAGTGGTCACCAATAATGGACGCAGCACCAAGTCGCCTCACCAGAGAAGTCATAAGTGCGTTGCCGGTCTTTTGAGGGGTTTAGGGTATTTAGCATTTGGGGAGGGATGGGCGAAGGGAACTATGGGGTGGTTATTTCGCTTTGGTTTGCTGTGCGCCCATGGTATCACTCCGGTAGAGTCGGCGTATTAGTTTTTTTTCTTGTGAGAGGACGGAAAATTGGCTTACAGTTTACTTAATGGTAAACAATCGGCGCCACCCGTAGATACCCGCAACGCCAGAAGAGTTATGTGTGCGTTGTTGGCCTTTTTGGAATTAAGGTTCTGGTTATTCGAAGATTGGGGAGGGGAAGAACGATTGAATCTCCGGTAATATCCCGTAACCGTTGTTTCACACCGGTTTTGTGTGAGACCTTGGTATCACTCTTGTCGAGCGAACTCACTGGTGGCGAAGCATGACTCTCCCACACTAATTGTTATTTTATATTTCACTACCTAGTAGATCAAATTGTATTGACGACGGCTGAATAATGGCATATAAATAAATACAATAATTAAACCCTCATCCAAGCTAGGCAAGACAGCATTAAAAACTAAAAAACAGATATATATTTACCGAGACACTTCAAAGAGGTGTGTGCAAGTACGGACGTGTGCTCCATTGACGGTGAAGATCGCTTCTTCAGCTTCCATATCGATGAGGCATCCCACAATGTCTCCAGGACGCCATCCCTCCACGTCAGGCACGGGGGTCGGTTTGGCCCCATGCCATATTAAACGACGGCAGCCGTCATACGACAAAGAATATATGTCGTCTCCGATTCCATAACCCTCCTGTTTAGAGACATTATTTTATAATAATTTGTTAGTTAATTAATTATTTAAATACACAACATTTAACATCGATACTGGTCTTTAACAAAAAATAAGAGAGAGAGTGTGTGTGTGTGTGTGTGTTACTTAATTCAAAGATGTATTTGAATTTAAATCTTAAGTGTTTTGGTAGGGCAACATCAAATGGCACTTTTAGTCATTCACCGGCCCCAAGCATAGGATAAAGTTGTTAGTAGTTGTTAAGTCGTTGTCCATAAACAGAAAAAGTATGTATTGAAATGAGTAAAAAGTAACTATATTGAATTGTTATAAACACCATTCATTGAACAAAAGTACTAATAGAGTTAAAGTTTAATTATATCTTCAAATGTAGTGTGTTAAGTAAAGGAAAAACAAAAGAAGACCAGTTTGGATTGAGAACGCGTCTCGCGTGCGATTCAGGACTAATTGTCTGCATTATTGGAATTCAATAAAATACGTAGATTGTCCTTAATTTTACATTAGTCTACCGAGTATATACTATGTACATGGATTCACCAGTCACCACTTACTTAAGAATCCTACATAGTAATAGAAGGTAGAAGCAAATTTCAAAGATTATGTTATTTAAATAATCTGTATGTTCAAAAAGTATTTTGACTTTACACTCAAGTAAGATTTCAAAAAGAGAATAGATAAATAAAAATCTGCTAACCCGACAAAACATTTACAAGTTTTTAATTATATACCTAAAACTTAATTTTGATAGATATATTAAGTCATGTATTAGGTATGTCGCACACAAAACGCACCCTCAAAAACATAGAATAGGGCCTAAACTTATTTGAACGTTCGCCAGATTCCGAAATAGAAGACTAATATTTATGAGTATTAAGATTGTAAAAGAAGTAGTGTCCGTAGAAATCAGTTTAGTCCTTCTTGCCTGTCTCCTATATTATAATGTATCAATATTTTCTCTTATATTTAATATAGTGTCGTAAAAAAGCCCTTACATACCTAGGAACACTAATCTATTAACTGTTATCATATATCATAAATCTTCTTATAAGTAAATCTTTTTTCGTACATTTTGGTGTACAAAATAATATAACTTTATTTTTAAAATACAGGACACAGGCGTAACAACAATATTTCGAGCTAACATTTAACGTGAAACTGCCGTTTTGAGAAATCAATGTCTCTATTCTGATTTCCTTTGGTACCCATTTCTTTTCTTAGTGACATACTCTTAAAGAGTTGATCGGCTTTGATGTCAGACTTTCTTGCGTTGCTTTCTTCAGCCTGTTAATCTTTGATCAGTCCACTGTTCACTGACTTCTAAAGATTTCATGCTTGAGTTGACATTTTGTTGATATTAAGACATATGTCTTTCAGCACAAGGTTGTCATTCCCATATCAGAATATGACTTTGGACAGGCAACTTAACATTTTCGAGGCTGACCTTTTCAAATATGATTGTCAATTTATTTTCATAAAAATCTTGTCTTGTCTCAGCGATATTTGTATTCAGACTTACCTGTCAAGTATTCACGACTCCTTTCATTTTACATGTACGAGACACAAATATCATTTCACAAAACGGCAAGTTCACTGTCTGACAACATTTATCAATAACATCAAAAGCCGTGTAAGAATGAGAAATGAAGATGATACAAAAATTTGAAGAGTCATGTAAACTAGAAGAATGTCTACTTATGTAGAGTGTAATGTGTGGAATGTGGCGTGCCAAATATGTACAAATATGTCTCACTAGTGACATCTGGAGCTAATGAAAGCAAATAGTGTTATTTATTTGGAAAAATTGTTCTAACAAATGTTTGGCACAATATTGATGGCAGAAGTTACATTGTTATTTACGTTTGGCTGCTGACCGTCGCCAGGCCAGCGTTAAGGACTTTAACATGTAACTCATGCCATTGATAAGTGCCATCCAATTGTTAGCATACACTATCTGTAAGGTAGCGTATCACAATGTTTATCAATATGCTTTACTATTACACCAGCTAAACTAAAGACCAGCATGTTTGACAACTATGACGGGAGAGTAGTGTATGCAAAACAATTAACATATTTGAAAAACATTGTTATGTTAAATTAAATCATTAACACATCAATAGGTTGTAGCCTAACCTTCCTCTTCTTGCCATTGAACTCGGTAAGGCTAATCTGCGTTTTATTGAATGTGTTAACGACAAGTTAGAACTTTATTGAAACTATCTTATGTGTAAAGCGCCGACAACACCCAATAAATTCATTTTTTTCTAATATACGTGTCAATGTGTATATTTGAAGTTTATTTATTAATTTGGCATTTTCCTAGGTGTGTATAAGCCTATTCATAGCCTTATAAATATATAATCATGTACCGTTTACTATGATAAAACTAACCTTTTTTAGCAGCATAACTAATGAATGTCTATTGAAATTTAGTAAGACGGCATTTTATACTATTTGTTATATAATTAGTTGGGTGTTATTAGGGCACACATTCACCGCCAAGTTCGTAAGCGTTAGCATGGATCGAGTTGCGCAAAAAAGTGAACTATAAGGCTTGGCTATAACGTGTTTGCGTGTCCTTTGGCGCCTTAACTAAAAGTATTGTCAACGACACGCGACTCAAGTGTCTCATTCTTAAACTGCAGAAAACTACTCACAAACTGTAGGCAAGCAAGCAAACCGCAGCAAGGATCGGTCGTAAATCACTAGACTGTTCTAAAGAAAATCCGGCCTAACGCCGACAAGCATAAGACTGTTAATTGCAGTTCAGTAAAAACGAAAGCGTGTCATTGACTGTTAAGGTAGCTATGGCTTTCGAAATATGCCTACAAACTGACATTAGTTATTTAGATACTCATCACACATCGTCATTCAAATATTCTGAAACATTCCCTTGCACACAGCTTCGATGCAACGTTACTTTCATGAGTTTAGTTCACTCCAATCGATACAAACTTTGGTTCCCTGGGGAGATTTTGACTCACTCTTTTATACAGAGTAAATTTTTGTTTGTTTGACGCAAAACGGAACAAAGTTTTATACTAATCTACAATATTAATAATGTTCATATGTGCTGTTCACAAAAATTCACTCTGTATAGCTTGAGTTTAAGTAAGTCTGTAGGCAAACAGAATAACAATCTAGCAGCCATCAAAATGCAGATAGTAATCAAAAATGACTTCAGAAAAGTAATAAAAAATACGAAATGCCACGAGACGATAAAAGCCAATTAGGTATTAAGAATTTTGAAGAAACATGCTGTTTTATTTACAGAAATTTTAGAAAAGGAAAAAAAGTGAGTGGTTATTATGTCCTTTTAAAAATCGCAGCGCAAGGAGAAATTCCATTCTTTGTAAATGGTCCTTCTATGAATTTAAACATGGAATTAAAATAATACTAATGTCATAATACATAATTGTTGCCAGCGTCGACATAGTACTTAGTTCTATTAAAGTTATGTAATCCTCCTTGGCTATTTAACGGCTACTAGATGTACCCTTGTGAAACTGGCCACATGCATTTGGACGTACAGATAAACAGAGAAATAGGTAATGTTAAGTATTATAGCGCAAAAATAGAATTATTTGAAGCGACGAATTGTATCGTAATAAAAAAATCCGGTTTGTAATCAAAATTTAATTTCCTACAACTCACTTTTATAAGTAAACTTAACTAAGTAAGTAAGGCAATTTCCAAATAGTGAAATGTAATATTTTTATTGAAATGTAAAAAAACTGAACTTTTTTATGAATTTTGTAGGATATCACCACCACAATGTTTTCTTGTTTCTTTTTTTACATTTGTCTAAATATATGTTGTCAAAGCAATGAATGAAATTATGATTACATTTTGACAATAATTCATTGTATTAAAAAGGGAAAATAATTTATTTTTGGGACTGAATCCTATCAATAAAAAGTACGTCATCATAATCTGTATTCTTTTTTAATTAGAAAATGTATGTGGCCAGTTTAATAGAAAACCATAGCTTTAAAAATATCTTCGGTATTTAAAACTGGACTATAAGCTAATCTAGTCACATATCCGAACAGATACTTGGAAATTGAGATATAAAAAAATATTAAGTATATTATATGAAGTGACAATCGTTTGATAAGAAGCTGTAAGCTGTATAAATTATTTTAAGTTTTTTGGATAATTCTTGGTACATTATATTACCTTTGTGAAGATATAAAATATTCTATGTATGCTCTTTCTTTCTTTTTACATTAGTTCACTTGTACTCAAAATAAACTAAGGAAAATTATGATAATTTATTATGAAACAGTTTGTATTAAAATGCTTATTTGAAAATCATTCAGATGTTCTTTGATATATGCATATCTTAAATTTTTAATAATTTTCCAATTTCGACCTGATAATGGCTTCGGACATGATTTGAATAAGTTTTTTTTGCAAATTTTACACGTATTTCGAGTTTCTGTTCGGAAATGCTTTGTAGCTATAATATTTAGCTTAAGTAGGTAGACAGCCGGGCGCGGCGCTTGTGTAGTTAGGTGTATATGTAACATGTAATTAGTTGGTATTTACTAGACCATTCAATATTTCAGAAACTATTTTATTCAAGTTTGTAGGGGAAACAGAAATAAACGACAGCATCGCAGTTAGCTAGCAAGACCTGTAGTGTCAGTACAATACTACGGGATCTAAGGGCTCCGGGGTTGCGGGTCAAACGCAATAATGTGCCGCGGCCTCAGTCTGAACGCGGACTGTTCGTTCTCCTACATTTTTTTGGGCTTTAAAAAAAACTGACCTATTATTTTGTTTCGGTATTTCTTCTCAGAGTTGTCGGCTATGTAAACAATGCCGGCTTTATTTAGATTTTTTATTTATGATGCTTACGTATAAGACTTTTGTTGTATGGCCCATTTACAAAAATAAAGTTTTGTTTCAATATTTTACATTTTGTAGAGTGCGTAAAAGCACCCCTTGATAAACTCGAATCTTTTAAGTTGCGATCTGCAACCTGTCTTCCGTGGAGATAATAAAAAAATCTTCTACCCGCAATAAACTGGCACTAGTTATTGTTAATGGGTTACCACTTTCTTAATATGAACGTTTTTATTCAGATTTTAGTTGAAATTGCTAATAAGCAAGGCATTAAGGAAACCCCACTACTTTTAACAACTTTAGTCATCAACAATTTGGCATCGATTTCGCATTTACGTTATTATGAGGAAAATTCTATAATTAATTTAATAAACTGCGTGCATTAATATAATAATTTAAATCAACGCGTCACTTGTTCTTATTTCAAAAATAAACAGTTGAATTTAAAGTTGTCCGAATTATTTTTAAACTTTAATTAGATTTGTATGTGTAACTATGTATATTTTAAACTACCAATATTGATTATCCGCGTGACGATCATAACTTCATTAAACAAATAAACCCTATTCTACTATTTTCTCCAGTGTTCGTGTCAGACGAAATATTTCATTTCTATATTGCTGTTTATTTGTCTGAAATGAGCTACACTACGTGAAATAATAAAAATACAGAAGTTTAAAATTCAATTCGTCATAGATAATATGTTTAGTACTTGAAATAATTTATTTTTAACTGCTTTATCATGCATGCAGATTAGAAGCAGACCCGGAACAACAAATTGTAGATTTACCCAAAAAGACGGGAATCGGACCGACCTGTGCTAGCCGCGCAATCAAATGATATTAATATTTTGTTATAAAGACGATGCTGTCATTTGTTTGATTTTTATCCCCTATTTATTTAATTAATCCAAGTTCCTTTGTATAGGTTATTGTAAATATAATTCGAGTGACCATTCAATCACGTGTTTACTATATGTAGGCTTGTGTGTGTGCTGTGTGTGTGTGTAATGTACTTCTTTGAGAGATTCTATTGAACTTCATAGCCTTTAATAATATAAGAGAATTTTAAATATTAAATTTAATATCGCATAATTTAAAAAGTATTTAGTTAATTTATTATTTAGTTACAGTATTTAGTTAATTTATGTATATCACTTTGTTTAAAATGTTGAGCTTTTTAGGCGCTGTCAGATAGTTTTATTGTGTCAAATTATGTCATATTAATTAAAATATTTTTTTAGCATTCAATGCGGCATTATACTTTAGAACAGAAATAGTTTTACAATTAGTAAAACTATTCTGATTGTACATGTTTAACAACTCTTGATTTCATGTGGGCAATGATCATGAAAAAGGAAAATGGCTCCATCACGATACATTACGATGATAGAGCAATTTCAAGTGTGCAGAACTAAATTGCTATCAATTGCCTTACTAGTGTATTGCAGTAAATTATTTTATGATCAATTGCGTTGTTTTATGTGCAACTAGGGAATTTCCATACTGTACCTACTAGATCTTTTGAAAGCGAACCTACATAGAAATGAATATATAAAGGTGTTAGTTTTCAAGCGTAGCTGCCACGTAAGCATAAGTTGTTGGGTGTAGGGTTAGCGCCGCGCCAGGTTGCCTAGTCACACGCTATCAACTAGTCGTAAAGCTAAATAGAATGAGTCGACTGACATGGTTCAAGAAATGGCTGCTCTTCGTAGCCCATCCTATCTGCATCACGCCTGGAGTAATGATAAGGCACTCGTAGTACCAAACGCCACTGTTCACCTGCAAAACATTTCACAAAACATCATTATCAAAGTACACGCAATATATACTTCTCCCACTTTCATTATACAAGTTAAATAACCTGAGCAGAGCAACGTACACTTCCACTCGATCGGTAAATACCTAGCAGAAAAATCACATCGCTCTATTCCCTGGAGGGAACGGCGAAGTGTACTTGGTAACAGTAGACGCGTTCCGCTGTTACGTTATTACAAGTAATTATAACACAGGAGAATCTATTGCGAAACTCAACTTGTGTAAGGGCAAGTTTCTTCTGAGCAACGAGAACAATACTGAGGGCAAGGTCAGGTTGTTTGTAAGGCTTATTTATAAATTTTCCTTACCGGGAAGGTGCAGCGCACACTCTCGAAGGAGTAGGAGTCGCAACGCGCCTCCAGTCCATCGCAGGAGATTTTCAAGTATTCGCTCACATCCTGAGTGTTCATGATGGCGTGGATCTTAGACATATCTACAGTTTGGTAGCTTAGGCAACGCCCTTCCACGGTAACTGGAAATAAGCGTCCGTGGTTATAATATAAGTCTGTCGTTGAATTCTACATTGAAGCAATACAATTTTTTCTAAAATTCTCTAGCGTGTTATTCGTAATTACCCGATTGAGAGATTAATCATATTTTAATTAACTCTCTTCTGTAAGCCCTACTATTATTCCAATACACGAAGGATCTAAATATGTCGCTATATTTCTAACAGACGCAAAACTTGTCGCTGATCTGTTGCAACAAACGGATAAAATTGACTAATCCCTGTTGAACATCTCAAACGTAACTAAATAAGAATAACATTTTAACATAATAATAGGATTGATTTCTATCAGCTCCTCGCCCTGAAGAGCGTTCCACTTTATTAGCTAAGAGGAGGTTGGGTAATACTTACACTACGCGGCCTATTTATTTTATAAATATAGACCTAGTTACAATTTCGAAGCACTTTTGTATAAAATGGCCTTTGTGTAAAATCGAAACAATGCAGGGGTCGGGAAGTTTGAACCGTGAATCCTTACAAATGCATTTACCTTACGCAAACGGTTTGTTGCTATAGAGACGTTTCTTTATATTTCGATGTTGAGCAGTTCGTAATTTTTAAAGTGATTGTTTTTTGTTATTGGTGATACAGTCCAATAATGTTAGCTGAAGATTCGCGAAATACAATATACCGAATTAATAGCAAGCCTAAGATGTACTGATTCCATATCTGTTCAGCCATTACGGTAGTAGTCCGCAAGTCCGTCGACCAGCTACGAAGGGAGTGGCAAGTTACTTACACAGGTTGTCGAGTGCCCATTTAGCACAGAATCCGACCTGGCGCCAGGTATAGTCCTGACTGTTAGAGTGTCGCTCTAGGAGCAGGAGTGGGTTGTCATCTTCTTTGTTGAGTCGCTCCTTGATCGTCAGTTTGTTCTCGGTTGTGTGCGCGAACTTCTCGAGGGCGATCAGGGCGAACAGCACGATTCGCGGCTCTCGACGAAACATCTGTAAATAAATTGTGTATTTACATTTGCTTACGTTTCCTACCAGTAGCAAGATCCGTTTTCCAAATCACCACTTCTTTAAATTTCCCGGTATTTTTCACCAATATAGGAATATTTTTTTATCGATTATTTATTACCTGTTAGCGTTAAAATCTACGAGTAAAGCGGGACCTGTGTATTTTTAACAAAGCTTGAGGGTTAAACTAGATCCCGTGTAATTTTAACATCGACTGTTAATGAACAACGTGCAAAATTAAGCCTTAACAATTTCAACCTATCTTAAGCCGGAGCCGAAGCTTAACGGATGTCACCGGTGACCCCCATGGCGTTTAACGTGTTAACTGTACCTGCATACATATAAAATCGAAAGTAAGCGTATAAAAATGATGAGTACAAATATGTATAGTTTATTGAATTGCAGCATTTATTACCAATACTAAGGAATGGTAGACGTCGTGGTGGCCCGACGGTTAAGGCGCTCGCGCCGGCGGCGGGTTTTTCTGAGTTAGGTACATGTGCTTTCTAGGTTTATTTAGACACCAATGACAAACGGTGCACGAAACTTTGAAGGCACCTGGACTTACAATTTCTAATTGTAAGTTTTGTTCCTTTAGCAAGCATGGTAGTTAATGCTCAAACCTTATCTTTGTGAGCAGAAGCCTTTGCTCGGCAGTGGGCACTCATAGGCTGATGATTTAGCTAACGAAGGGTGGTTTAAATTAACGACGATCATACATTCTGTATTAAGCCGCGCCACAGCTGTAGGGACACGTTCTTTGAATAAAAAACATCTCGTAATAACACAGGTAAGTCCTACTAGTCCGGTCAATTTAGACCAAAAAATGAGGGTGAAGTTACATAAAGTCCCAACAAGCTGAATTTCTGTGAAATTGTTCCAAACATAGTTATAAACAATGTCTAAAAGTTCCCCATCATTACCCTGTAAGGAATTTATTCATGGTCAAAGGTCAGAAAATTGAGTTTTTCTCGATTTGCAGCAAAACGGTAAGTTTTATGATAAAAGTACCTCCGACAAAAATTGTAGTTCATAAAATTATCTATAATAAAAAAAAATTTTACAAAATAAAAAAACCGCCTTCAAAAAAAGTCAAGCAATAAAAGTTCCTACACTAAAAAGTAAAAAATAACAATTTGAATTACTGTAAAAAAACTTAGTTTATAGGTAAACTTATTTGACATTAATATTTTGCAAATATTCAAAATTTATTACTTATTTTTGGAGTCGGTGCCAGCATTTTAATGTTGAAACTTAATGTTAGTTAGCTTTTTAATATCCGGTGCCATTTTTCGTACATAATGCTTAAACATTTTCAATGTACTTAAAATGTTTTTGTAAGTATATATTTTTTATTTTAAAAAAATGTGCAAATCGGACATTTTTTGTAGAGAAGTCTAATCTGTATTTATGTCTTAATTAATATACCTATATTTGAGTATGCAAATAGGTATTAAGTAGTTTTATAATTAAGTAAGAGGTAGTTTTTCAAGGGATTGTTGCCCATTTGTATTTCCTTGCATGGGCTGGCACCGACTCCAAAAATAAGTAATAAATTTTGAATATTTGCAAAATATTAATGTCAAATAAGTTTACCTATAAACTAAGTTTTTTTACAGTAATTCAAATTGTTATTTTTTACTTTTTAGTGTAGGAACTTTTATTGCTTGACTTTTTTTGAAGGCGGTTTTTTTATTTTGTAAAATTTTTTTTTATTTGTTGCCGTTTAGTGTTTTTTTTTATTATAATGTGTTATGGCAAAGAAGTCAATATCGTTCCTGCATTTCTTTTGAAAAAGTTACCAATGTCATACTTATACGTAGAAATACATATCATAGTACATTGTTACTGTGTAATCGTTTTGATCTCGAGGAGAGATGATATGATGCATGAGATACTTATGATTTATAGTTAAAAAAAAATAATAATCTTATCATAAATTCATATTAGTTCTCGCCAAATAACAAAAAACTAGATATTTTCATCAACAGACAGATAAAGTTCAAAGATACCAAATGCAATCTAATTTAGTATCTATGATTAAATACATTCGTACATAGAAAAAAGACCGATGCAATTATTGTTTTGTATCAATTGTAACCCATTAAATGAAGAATACTATTTTGTTATTACTAAGAACATTCATATATAGACAAGTTGGTAAAAATACAAAAGACCATCGCTATTGTAAATATACATTTATGAGTCATTCAATGTATGAACCTTTTTTAAGTAAGTATTATCTACATATGTGCACACAAAAGAAACACAATTATTGTTTTGTACGACGCAATTATTGTTTTGTAACCCATTTAAAACGACTGTTTTGTTAAAAATGCCAATGAATTCTCTTAGCCTATTACCAGGAAAACGATAAGAACACAATGACGCATTTCACCACTAATGTGTAAACGCAGTCCACGTGGACTAATGCAAAATAGCCAATACTAGGCCAAACTCCGCCCCCAAAGGTGTGCGGTCCCGCTCTAGAACCTTTCGGCCCCATCGGCCATCTGTTCTACGAGCAATGTGCCGTGCCCACTGTCACTTAAGTTTGGCATTTCTTCGGGCTATGTCGGTGACGCTGGTTCTTCTGCGGATTTCTTCATTTCTGATTCGAACATGCACGGAAACTATGAGCATAGCCCTTTCCATTGCACTTGACAGCTCTAATAAGCTTACACAATACTAGGCCCCATGCCAACCTTCCAGCTTCATCATCACATCAGTTCAATAGTACCTTACAGCCAAAGTGCATCTTATAACAATTCTAACAAGCCCAAACACGGCTAGGATATATTAATTAGGTACGCAGTTCCAGTGCCTACCTTCCAGCTCCATAATCATCATTAAATCAGTTCGATGATAACATTTCCAACATAATTATTTAAGATCATTGGTTTACAGTGCATTTTCATAGTTGCTGAACTACCTTGATTGTGATATCTATGCGAGTGTCAAGTTTCATCACCCATTTCTGATCTTCTTCACCAGTTCCACCCCATCAAATATTACTTTTTGACTGTAAATGCTTGAGTGCTCTATGAAAATATTAAAATTACTATATAGTTGCCTATAATATTTGAGGAGTTCCCTCGATTTCTCATGGATCCCATCATCAAAACTCAATTTTGAAAAGAATGGGACCAATCTGGAAGCATATCCTTTCAATCATAAAAAAAATTTTGCAAATCCGTCCATAAACGACGGAGTTCTGAGGTAACAAACATAAAAAAAAAAAAAAAAAAAAAAAAAAAAAAATACAATCGAATTGAGAACCTCCTCCTTTTTTTGAAGTCGGTTAAAAATGTATCAACACTTTTTTCTTATGACCCACCGCTTCTGAGATATAACGATTCAAAAAGTTATAAAAGTTGTTATTGTCATAATATGCACACCTTTCCACGCCACCTATGCGGTAGTCTACTTAGCACGTTTTTTAACGTGGTTTCCTCAGTAGGCCTACTCTACGGGTCATTTGTCATCCTGTTAATGTTAACTATCTCAAAATAACGAAAATTTTCAAAGATTTAACCAAAGTATCCGAAAAAGAAATAACCCTCAGGGACAGCAACTTTAGACAGTCTCGAGTTGACCAGTCCCAATAGGCGGCGTCCGTTCACGAACATGACACGTACACCAGCACCGCCCAACTCAACCATATTATAGGGAACCGAGCGGTCCAGTGCCCGTGCCACCGCCAATGAGACTCCTGAGTGAGCATGACAACTCCCAACTGACACAAGTACCAATATACTATAAGTCTTTAAGTCTAACTCAATTATAATAAGTTACAGGGCACACATTTACTCACAATTACAAAAATCCAGTTTATCAACAATTAACAACATGGTGAATAATTTAATAATTGAGATCAAAATTCCTTTTAACCTTAACAATTTTTATCCTGTGCAGTCAAACCAGCCACCCTCCAAGCATTTTTATCTTCTATATAATCATTTAGTTTGTATTATGCTTTCCTACATAATACTTTCTTTATACATAATTTAAATTTACTTTCATTAAGATTTTGTAGTTCAGTTGGGATTTTATTATAACATTTAACACATAATCCCATGAACGACTTATGCACTTTTGCTAATCTAAATAAAGGCTGACCTAATCTATTTCTATGTCTAGTAAGATAGTCATGCTTGTCAGATACTTTTACAAATAGCTGTAGGTTTTTCCTAACATACATAATGTTTTCATAAATATATTGACAACATTAAACATATATAAAATTAATTATTAACATACATAAAATGTAACAACTCTTGATGTATATAAGTGGCGATGATCTCTTGATGTATATATGCATACTATGACAATAACAACTTTTATAACTTTTTGAATCGTTATATCTCAGAAGCGGTGGGTCATAAGAAAAAAGTGTTGATACATTTTTTATAGATAATTTTATGAACTACAATTTTTGTCGGACTTACTTTTATCATAAAACTTACCGTTTTGCTGCAAATCGAGAAAAACTCAATTTTCTGACCTTTGACCATGAATAAATTCCTTACAGGGTAATGATGGGGAACTTTTAGACATTGTTTATAACTATGTTTTGAACAATTTCACAGAAATTCAGCTTGTTGGGACTTTATGTAACTTCGAATGTCTAAATTGACCGGACTATACTAATCTCGCTCAATTTATCACATTTATACAATTGCATATCGGAGGACTTAATGCTAGAAGCATTTAGTACTCTCGCAGTTACACATTGCAGCGAAACCACACGAAACGTCAAAATAAAAGGACTTTGCTATTGAGTTTTGACATCTGCAAAATTACTATTATATGTAAAAAGGTGTAGATAGGTCATAAGCGCTCAGCAAGTGATACATTAAAATGTGGCTAACTAGCCACAGTTTTTCATATTTGTCTCTTTTTCACTCGCGAATCATGCCATCCCACTTTGACGTCTAATCATACGAATTGTACATGTTTGCATCAGTGTGCCGTTTTTGAAAATCGAATGTTGTTTATGTGACCTATCTATTTTGCTTATAATATCATTGCCTACAGAGGCATAGTCTATGTCTAATCGAAAGACAAAGTCAAAAGCATTTATAAACCACTATTAGCTTCCGCCCGCGTGGTATGTTGTTGAAACCTATGTGTTAATCCAGGATACCTATATTAATTTTCAACCAAATCGGTCCAGCCGTTTTTGCGTGAGACGATAACAAACATACTCGTACATCCATACATTTTCACAAAGTTTCACATTTACAATATTAATAGGAAATAGTAGAATATACAGCTACTTTTGTAAAGTCAATAATCAAATTACAGATCTCGTAATAAAATAAAAAAACATAGACAAAAGTTTGTATGATGTTCCCTTTCCATAGAGTTTGAAATTGGAAAAAAATCTATCTCTATTGCTTATAACTGTTGTAATATATCTACCATCAAATGTTTTAATAGTTTTTAACACTTTGGTGTCAAAAAATACGGAACCGTTAGTTCTTCTATTGTAATAATTTTATTGTACACTAGCTACTCTCGCACGGTTTCACCCGCTCCTCGGCTCCACTTAATCGTAGCGTGATGTTTTATAGCCTATAGCACTCAGGAACTTTGTTGCTACCTATCAGTGAAAGAATTTTGGAAATCCGACCAGAAGTTCCAAAGATTACCCTCTACATACAAACTTACAAATTTTACCTCTTTATAATATTATTATAGATATCTGCATGTATACATATACATAATTATGTAAATTATGTATCGGTCGCAAAAATTACCTAAGTAGCACTTAGCGCATAGCGACTGTGATTACAATTTCAACCTCAGTTGTCAAATTACTATATTACCAAACGTAAGCTATAAATATTTCCGAGTAATAAAGGACAGTTTTATTGCAAAATAAATATTTACTGTTTCCAAGAGTCATATATGTAATCAAAGCAAGCCTCAACACCTACTTATATCATCAGCCTTTAAGTGTCCACTGCTGAGCAAAGTCCTCTTCTGACACGGAGAGGGTTAGAGCATTAATCACCACATTTACTCAAGGCGAATTAGTGATTTCAAACTTATAATTCAAATTATAAATCCAGGTTACCTCACGATGTTTTCCTCCACCGTATGTCAGTGGTGTCCTAAAACTTAGAAAGTACATATAACTCGGAATAAGACACATAGGTACTTGTCAGGTTTCGAAACTGGACCCTCATGCATGAGAAGCGGGCGACGACGCCACAACGTTTTTATGTCTATTTAACCTACTTGAGTGTAATAAATCTAATGTAAACATTAAAGAGTAATCTCGTAGGTGCATCGCGTGGATCCAAGTTTGCTTCCATAAATTAAAGTCCAAGATTGAACAGATTGCATCCTATTGAAGTGGAGTTCCAATTCTAAAGGAAGCAGGCATTACATAGCACATTCATTGACTGAACGACAGACTGTTTTAATATTTCTATCTAAACCTTAGTCTATAAACTGATTCTACATCCATTGTTGTACAGCGCAGACCAATACGAAGAAGCTTAAAATCTCATATTGAAGTCATTTTGTTTTAAATTCCTTGATTCCTTTTTGAACAACAAACTCTTTTATAGCCGTTAGAATTACTACTGCAAGAATATAATAATTTGGGAATATCATTATCAGCGTGCATTCAGTCAGTCTTTTCACACGGAGAAGGTTTGAGCATTAATCATTACTCTTGCTCAAGACGGATTGGCTATTTCAAATTTATAATTCAAAATTATAAGTCCAAATTTTTCCAAATACCTTCACCGTTGGGAATACGGTCTGAGAAATCCTTAGTAATCACCTAAGCTTAGTTTGAAGCTTGTATACCATTATGTCTGAGTTCATTATGAAACAATGAATTTATTTTTTTTACTTTTGACTTAAGTTGCAAACTTGCAATCGACAGATATCTAGTAAAATATAACATGTATGTTAAGTAATGCATAAATCACTTTTCTACTAACATTGTGTTGAATTATATTTCACTGCAAGAGAAATTGACACCGAAGGTAACAAGAATCGATGTAACGTCAGGTCAATGTGGAACGGATGCGTTCTGAACTTCACAACTCATTAAATACAAAATTACTAAGCTACTACATTATCTGCATAAGTACCTATCCATATATGTATGTTTATACAAACCTACATGAACACCTATGGTATACACAACATAGGTCTCCAAGGGTAGACTGGTAGAGAATGCTCATTGCAATTAAGTCCGCCTAATGTTCAATGTTTTAGTGCGTGAAGTAATAAATAAATAAAATAAATTATTAAGATAAAAATCTTAATAAGAAAAAAAAAGATATTTAATGTAATGTTAGACATCAATAGATATGTCAATTCGTATGTCAAAAACGAAACTTGAGACCCAATTCCATTCTAGATGAAGGATCAAGAAAGTATTGTTAATATTTGTACAAAACTTTCATGATTAAGTAAATATCTAAGTGATGTCACATTGTTTTGATGGAGGTACACGAAGTCTGATCATTTTGAGTTACCTGAACAAAAAACCTAAGATCAAACAAGATTGATCGTGTCATACGAAAGTCGCGTCCTCGGGTGGACAAGTAGGTAACAAATTCAAAATAGTACCACTTAACAATGTTTGTTTAAAAAATTTCCGACAGTACATCAAATAAAGTGTTCAGATTGAGTTGTTATGAAAACAGTATATTCCTATTTCATCTTCTTTGGTTATACAATATACATATTACTTGATAGGTACAATACTTAATGCAAAGGATTATTACAGGTAATATTTCCATCAATCAGCTAATGCACAGATCGACTTTCGATCGCTCCACTTAATTTAATTAAAATATCATAACGGATAATAACGAGTTTATTGTGTGATGATATATTATCAATTAATATAATAACATCAGTTTGAATGATGGAGATGGGTGGGAATATTATTTTTCTTTTTTACAAATTCAATTTTACAACGTATTCTACAAAATAATTTTCGCGTTTTGATCATCACGAAGGAAAGTTATTTCGATGAAATGAATATAGTAACTGCATTTACTTTGAAAAGTGACTTACCAGGAAGGACAGCATATAATCAAGGGTTTCTTCAGTTAGCACGGCAATGCTGTTGGGGCCGGCCAACTTGTCTGCGATGCACCCGAGCACAACACATATGTTGCGCTCAACCTGCACGTCTATGTCGGCAGCGAGGGCGCGCATCGCTGACAACCCGAAGATTTGGGTAAGCTGAAATAAACACTCAATGACACCACAACTTATAAAGAATCTAGTTGATCGGTAAATGCGATATTCTTTGAATTCCGATTTCTAAGCTGCATGCGGCGACAGCAATGAAAAGGAAAGCGATTCCATCAAAATTATGGCCTCGACTGATCACAATTTTCACTATTTTCATTAACAACTAGCGGCCCGCCCCCGCTTCGCACGGGTCCAAATATCTCGCTATCAAAGGGTCACTTTTTCCTAATCTTCCCCTCTAGTTTTCTCATATTTTCTTTCATAAGAACCTTCTCCTGACAATAACAAACACAACAAAAAAAGAATTAACAAAATTGGTCCAGGTGTTGTTGAGTTATGCGCTTACCAACACATTTTGGCAGTCCATTTTTATATATAAGATTAGCCGATATTTGCCAAGTGACTTCTGATAGCTCAGTTTGGTTAATCGTAGTGGTACAATAGCAATGCTCACATCCCTATCCTCTATGTTTCTACATTTCCAATCCATCCAATGATTTTAAATTAGGGCAACACAACCTTGCCCTAATTTAAAATCATTGGATTAACGTCCAATGTGAAAACGCTCCAAATAATTTTTACTGGATTGACATTTCCAAAAACCGATTTCCTTTTGGTCGTGCGAAGCGTGCTCGTGGACGTCAGATGCAACCGTCATTTTATTTTTGTAAATCGAATTGAAAAAGGCGTCGTGCACATAACACGATTTTCGATTCGTACCTTTGATTTTAATTTTAGTGAGAACGGAGTTGGTCTCAAACATTGAAAACTTTTGTTTCAGGAAACTGACAGTTTCATAATTGGAAATCCAGTTAGTGTAACTGCACAATGCACTCTGCACGTGTTGTTTTTTTACGTTTGAATCCGATTGGAAGTTTTCGTAAGCAAAAGTTCTGAATGAGGTATAACAAGGTCCGGGAAAAAGGTTTATGTGCAGTATTCACTGTGTGTTTCTGTTACATTTGAAACACAGCCCCGAAGCTGCAACTTGAAATTTAAAAGCTTGTTTACTACTCCACCTATCTGTTCGTTCGCGTAGCTTTCCCTTTGAAAATTGAAGGACATGTAGTTTTGAGAAACGTAGGTGGACGTAATCAATAAACGAGGGGTACACATAGGTAGTCGAGTATTATGCACAACATTTTGCAACACATTCTCGTAGTTAAGTATTTAAGACCCTTCAGCGCTACCTTTAATTCCAAGAACATTTACGTGCTCCACAGGTGGTGTCATTGGTTTTTACACTTAACGCATCCGATGAACAAAATAGTGAAGTTTTTAAGGAAACTTTTCCAAACTAAGTATATTTTGCCGTAACTTACTTTGATTACTTGCTCCTTAGTGGGTAGAGGGCAGTCATCGAAGACGATGGTGATGGCAGACGGCCCCAAAGGATTTTCGAGTGGTATAATCCGTACCATGGAGGATACTACTTGGAACCATCCTTCCTCCTTTTCAGCTATGACGTGGAGTTTCACCAAGGAAACTGGGGATTCTTCCTCACTGTAACAAGAACATTTTAGATTAGAACTACACTAGTTAGGTAAAGTTTAGCCACAAGCTTAGGAGAGCTATGCTTTGGCACAAGTGGATCGGCTCACAGAAAAACGTGAAACAACCACAGCGTTGTGTTTTGCTGTGTGAGCGAGCTTACTGGAGCCCCAATCTCTCCTCTCCTCTAATTCCTTCATAATCTCGAAATATTCAAATCCATAATCCTCAAAAGGTCAGCAACGTAACTCCTCTGTGCGGCGGCGCTAATTGCTTACCATCAGGTAATCTGTAAGCTCGTTTGCCATCCTACCACATAAAAAACCACTTATAAGTTTCGGGGCGGCTATATCCCTACCAAAAGTTTTGGCAGCAGTCAGTCACCAAGCAGGCGCCGTATAGTAAACGGAATACAACTCACATTTAGAGTTATGATTCCCATGTACCTAATACAGTATGAAGTCTATTATGTTCACAAACCGTGCTACTAGAGAGAATATTTTTAGCAATCACCTGCAACCGCAGACCATTTACTATGAAGTATAGAGTTACATAATTCCCACCGTCAAGACGCGACAGTGAGACGGTTCAAATTATGCTTTGGTCAGCTTGAGCGAGACTCGCCAGCTAATGTCATACATAGCAACACTCGCTTAAATTCTTAACCGATATTCATAACACGGATCGGATTAGAATAAACATGATAAGAATTTACACCCAAAATTTAAAAGTGAAGTTCTCACGTTCAATGGGATATAGGGATTCGCTGGGTTGATTACGCGAGCGCCTAATGTCAAGATTCAATATGGAATTACTGCGGACTATCATCGCAGAATGCGCGAGCATGCTTCGTCGGAACGTAAGCTACTCGTAATTGCACGGCTGGTCGGCTGTCCAAGAGGGTGGTGCGAGCGCACCGGGCGCCATCATGGTTAGGGCGTCAAGACTAACTGAAAAAGATGGCCGACCGAGTTTTTTGTATGAGAGCACCATTTATTTCTCGCACCACAAAGTGTTGCACTATTTGACTGCATCGGAAGGCGCGAGCAAGCGTTATCAAAACGCAAGCTACGATTCTTTGGCTCTTAAAATACCAAAACATTTAATACAGTAACGTAATACAGGACTATAACTGTTTCCGTCCAATTGTTGCGTATTTCGAGTCGCGTGACGCGATGTCTCTTGTCAATGCATTTTCTAACGCTCATTATGTAATCTAGCGACTAAGCAGTGATCTATAACAATTTAGATCTGGGACACGTGTAACATCCACACAATTGTACTACAGCCTTTTACTCTTACAAGTGCAGCGAGTCGCATCATTACGTTACAGTTACAATGCGACCTACGCTGAAACTGAATATTATGTTTATTGTTCGCATTGGCTACTGTTCCAGGTAATGGTAAACACAACAACAGTATCATGTTTCCAAGGGCGATCAATATAACGCTGCACAGGCTCTATGAATTCTTGGAAGTTGTTTATCTTTGTGTCAGGGAAAATAGACCACCATGACGGAACAGCCTCAGATCACATGTGAAGGTAAGAGGAAAATTGTTGCACTCTCATATGCACGAGCACGCGAAGTATTCGCGCCTATGGCGTTACTGAAAAAAGCCGGTTTACGCTCTCAACGGCACTGCGTGCTTGAGTCAGCTATAGGGCTGATGTTCAGTCGAGGTTGCGGAGCAAGCCCAATGAGGCACCGCGGCCTTGGCCCAGAGCAGAAGTGAACCCCCGTTCACGTCAGTCGGTTTTAGTCAGTTAGAGTCTGCTATCTCTCTAGCCTACCCCTGGGAGAAGTCATTTGATGACTTTGGCAAAAAGGGTTTCGATTCCCGAAACTTGCAATTCTGGCTCATTCCTGCTCCATAACCTTCCATGCAAAAGTCCAACATAATTTTTTCAATTCCTGTATGTCATTACAAAATTGTGTTGCTTATAATTTTTCAAAATACTTATTATTTAGCAGATAACATTTCATAAAGCTTTGTAAAATTATCTGCTAACAAATACTGTTTATATTGCATAGTTTCTCCTCTCCTACACGACATCTAATTACCACCGAGACTATCATATGTCGATACAACTTCCGAAGGACATCCGTAATTAGTTTCGAGAAAAATAAAAAATACCACACAAGTTTTATTACGTTGGGGTGATATATAATTTCTACTAGTATAAGGAAAACAAGCATCGGTGTAAAAAAGCACACACGTGTAATAAATTACAAGGACTCGCGAACATATTTTTCACAAGCTTCACTTTCTGTGAAAACAAACTCACCAATCAAGTCCAAACTCACCAATGCCATTTCAAGGGAGTATGTTCTGTGTAAAAACACACAAGTTTTGAAAAAGCTCTTAGTCCTAATGTACCGTGTGCCATTCAGCTTAACATTCTTTCAATACCCTATTGTTAGGAGACTCGGTGACAGACTGCTAAATGGACAGACGCCCTTCATTTACTCCTATTATTTCATAAACAAGCATCATGTTTCACAGTGCTTTTAAACCTTATTATCTAGACTTGATGTGTTTCTCTACCCTTTCACCTAACCTTGAAAACTACTCAAGTTTATAAACAATAAGTACAGAAACAATGAAGTATATAAAGAAGCAGAAATTCAATTAACTCAGCACTCAAGACTGTCCGAGCCAAAGCTCTTTGATTTTTACAGGAAACATAAGGCTTTCCATTGTTAGCCTTATTTCAATACAAAGAAAATGCATTTTCCTTCAATCAATACAATGTAAATACTGTTAATTGAAAATGCATTTCTTCGCTTTTGTTTTGCTATTTTCCATTTAGGAATATAAATTTCTCTAGCTCACGGAAACGTTTTGTCCTTGATCGGACCTTTTGTAGAACTGATTTATTTACCATTTTTATCGGAAACATTTCCATTTACACTTGCAATCGTGAATAAAAACCAAACAAAAATACTAATTATAATAGAAAAGTATTGCGAGACAGTTACATTGAAAAGCTTCTACAAAATAGATACAGAAAGTCTAGCTCTACTTCGAGTTAAAGCTAGCGTATTTGTAATGTACGTGCTGCTACGGCACGGGTATAAAACGACCTCGATGGTCGTCCATGGCGCTGATTCCTTTAATCCTTATTCCATTATTCACTCAGTATATTTCAATCAAACACACATACTAACCTATTTTGCATACCAACCCAATGGTGTAAGTGAATATGTATGTATGTTACTCGACAAACACAATATAGATAAAAAGCGTTCCATTTTTGCTGGACACGTGTGTCTTGTGTACTCATACTTGGGGTGTAGATCGGTATTCATCATATTAAAATACATGTTCCTACAATGTAATGTTATTATTACTTACATAGATTAAAGCATACCACGGAATATAATTACGCTTTCAGTGTCAACTGTAAATTTATTTTACAAAACCCGAACCAATTTTATACGTGTCGTGCGGTTGGCGGTTAACGTCGGCGGTGGTTAGTAGCCGTCGGTTACAAATGGTCGAGACCGTGATGAAATGTTTAAACGTATTAAATTAATATAATGAATTCCATGAATTATACGTATAACGTATCCCACCCCTTACATTGTCTGAGGAAGTAAACAGGTAGTAACAGTACGCCCACTTGGCCCAAGTATTGAAGAAGGGCGAGGCTTTTGTCATACTTCGAGTATGAACAGACTTTTCATTTCACTCGAATCACTAAATACTATACCAGGGCACTTGGCGTTTTTCTGACCTCTGACTACGCGTAATGAGTGTCATGCATCTCCTTAGTTCCGTTTAATAGCCGTTAATTCCTTTATTTGTAAGGGAGGTTTAAAGTAAGAATTGAGATAGGCAGTTGTTCACACAACCACCAAACTGCGACAGTGATTTATCGAATATTAATTTACACAATGACGTATAAATATTTATTAATGGCAGCCACCCACGAGTGTTTAATCCGAAAGACCTTTCGCCCGCTGCCTACACCTGCAATATGATAAGGCAAGGACGTCTCTAAGATAATATTTTCGAATATGACATATTTTCGTGGCCGTCGTTCCACGAAACTCCACATTTACCATCGCCTCAAGCTATAACTGTTGTTGTGATGTCTTGTATCACATATTCTCGATAACAATTATTTTCTTGAATTTCAAAACAAGATAAATATAGCCACATTGATGTTGATTGTTAGCGACTGCCTCCTGATCGATACGATTCTGTTCAATCATTTAAACGGTAGCCGATTGAATTTATTAATGAAGTGCTGCATAGGTTTTCCTTGTAACTACAGCAGTTACAATCTCTAGCCATTGTACTGATACATTTGTATTTGAATAAACATTGTATTTTATTTGTTGTTTATGGGCTATTTATTATATTTCGTCTAAGTATGAGTAGGGTCAAACTAAGTCTCTTACGTTTTAAATCAGTATGTATTATATCGTCAAAGTAGTTATTCCTTTGATATTGTTACCACAAAGACTGCCTAGACACTAGTCTATACTTAGTAGTTCATAGTTATAGTGGCCAGTGCAGAGGATATATTATGCAATATAGGGCCGAGAGCCCGAGAAACTACAACACAGAGTTGCTTTAAAGTTCACCAATACAATTAAATCCAGAACAAGGAAATTTGAGTACCGAACCGAGGAAGCCAGTTCCAGGATAGCTCGAAGAGGCAAACTAAAATGGCCTTGCTTATAAGCAGCACAGAGTCTACGGGACCGGCATGTTATCAAGAATCGGTCTGCATATTGGAAACGTTGCGGGAAACTGCCCAAGGATACAACGACGCAGTGAAGGCCACAAGAATTTGTTGCTTGCATATTTGCTCTTTATAAAATACCACATTTTACTATATATAATTTGAATATCTCGGTCTCACAATTATTATTTCTATACAATTATTTAAAAGGAACAATGATAGTTAAAGATTCTTTTACAAAATATCCTTGTTGCCGCCCGTATTTGATACGACAATATGCATTGATATGACTTCCGTTATGCATATTGTTCTTTGAAACTATACGAAAATACTTTAATTAGGTATGCCGCGCATGACTTTATCCAATTTCTGTTATTTCTTACGAGAATAATACAAAAATATTTGTTGTAATTGTATACGTTAAATACGTATAATAATGTAGTTTCCAACTAGACAAATTCAATACTTTTATCGAAACGTCAAAAACGATACTTTTCTATGAAATTTGTATGAAAAACTGAGCTATGACGTCATAACATTTTTGCGTCAAACAGCTTACTTATTTCACAATAATTAGCTAAAAAAAATCTAAAACTTGGTGTATCGATCGATCGATGAATAAAAGTATAGTTATTTTTCAATATTTTATGGTATTGAAACATCGAATTAATTTATTTTTGACCTAGGAAACTACCCAATTATGCGTTTTAGTTCAGAAGGAATTGAACAAAATTGATAATTGATTAATTATCATTTTGTTCGTTATTTTTATATAAAATATAATTAACCATTGCGCAACGGGGCCATGTCAATAGTTTTAAATACTCTTTTTTTGAAATCGTTGCCCCACATTAGGTTTTTCTCCTGTGTCATGACACATGACACCCAGACCCGGAACAACAATTTGTGGATCACACAAAGAGTTGTTCCTTGCGGGAATCAAACCTGCGACCATCTGATTGACAGGAATCAAAAAGACCGTAGACACCCGCGACATCAGACGAGTTATAATTGCGTTACCGGCCTTTTGGATGTTGTTAGGAATTTAAGGATCAGGCCTAGCTTTCGCCGCGGCTTCAAGGAACGGTGCTTAGTAAGTAAGAGTCTGACACTCCCTTTCACCATACCTAAGGCTAGACAAGTCACTTCTAGATTTTCCCTCCTCAAAAAATCGAGCCATCCCATTAGCCCAAATGGCTCTAAAGCTTTCTATCTATTTAATAAGGCAAATACTTTGAGATGCATTTTCAGTCAGAAGTTGATACATGACAGCTCGACGGTCAATAAAATGTAAGTGAGGATTCCAGCTTAGATCCTATTGTAACTTTCACACGTGTAGTTTGTATAATGAGTTTACTCAAAAATAGAACAAGGCTCTGCGCGTTAATTATAATAAAGAGTTAAGGGTGCAGGGGCTACAGACGCGCAACAGGGATTCATTTACCTCTATTTTACACGGGGTTTTTCGCTTCAAGCTAAATAGGAGTCTTTTAATTTCTAAATGAAAAAATAAATTATTATTGTTTAGTTGCAACAGTTCTAGAACCCAAAAGCAAATCTGCAGAAAAATACAACAAAAATATATTTTTGTAGTGAGCAGGGTGGTAGTGTAGCGAGCTCCAACAGTGTTTTAGGCATTATTGAAAGCAGGCTATATTGCAAGGAAGATCAAAATTACATCCACGACTTATATAAAAAAAATGCTTTGTCCTTTACCTTATTAACAACCCCCACATAAAGCCGTAACAACCCCACAGAAAGTCGAAGCAAAAAAATGTAGCCTACCGACATAGACGCGTATCTTATTAACAAAAGGTTAATTTAAATACAATCTTTATTTTATAAAAACGCGAATTTATGATGTACTTCAAAACATTTGATAATGAGCTGTCAAGTTTAACTTCAAAATGGCGCTAAGAACGTTCGGAAAAAATTGTATTTACTAGTTTCTACAAGGTCCTAAATATGAAAACACCTGATGAAATTTCTAAACTACGTATGTTACATAATATTGCATTCATTTTACCAGAGAATATACCCTCATAGAGCTCATATGAGATGCGCAGATTGTTCATAATGCAAATTGAATGAGAAATAATAGCATCACGGCAAACAAAGGGTTAAGAAAAACATTTTACTCATAACGTGTAATACATATTGCCTGTGAAAAATTGCAGAGTAATATGATCTTTTCCAGTCACCAATGAAAATCTATTCCAGAAAAATCTTAGGACTCAAGGAGGCTCCATTACCATCCTAGCCTATTCATGAGACATACAGGCCAAGTTAGTTATGTATACAATTACTTTTTAGCTAATAACCTTATTAGACTAGAGGAGTTTGTATTCAATTACCTTGGCGCACAAAATATTATTCGGTTTCTATGAGATTTTCGAATACAATGGCTCTAATAAGATAACTAGCCGTGAGTGGGCTTACCTAATGTAATGTCTACGATTTTGGGGTTATTTCAATATTCAGAATATTATCTATCAATTTGGTAAGATTTTCAGGTAAAATTGACGTTAACATATAAAACAATTTAATATTCACTTTGTGGTTTATAAATACAGCCAGACGGTTTCGATCGCCCCAGATATTAATCGACGGTATGCTGGAAGGTATGAAAGCTACAATCTGATTAACATCTTCAGCGGCTTCCGAGCGGAACCTGTGACACATAGCCCTTGGAGTATAAGTCGATCACATCGTGCGCTTACCTAAGTGTATTCAACTGGTGGTTTGTCCGTGTCGATCTCTTAAGACTGCGGCCGAGATTCTTCTACAGGTATTGTAAAATTACACAATAAAAATATTTAAAATTACAAAATCTCCTTTCGTGTCCACCTAAATAAAATAATAATAAACAAATCACTTACTTGTCAACAAAGGAAGCTATTAACGCCAACAGCTCAAAAATTAGTTCATCTACGATTCTTGGATCGACGACCAACTTAGGTGCAGGCACACGCGATTCAGTAACGCCGCGTGTCGTGGAGGGCACCGGGCCTGGTGACGGAACGTAAGGTTCCACAGGCCCCGGCTCCTTACTACAACAGGTCCCCATGATCTACGGACAAAACAATTTTATAAATAACACCTCATTAAAGATTCCTAGGAAAATGTGCTTTGAAGTATCAATATTTGTAATGAAATTGTCCTGTATGCTTATAGAACTCATTTTGATACTCTTATCGCTAGCGAGTTGTATACAGAAAAACATGAGGATCGTTATTGGCGTCAGCTAGGTAAAATAAAATAATCATTTTGCGATAGAAAAGAAATACCTATATAAATAAACTGTGAATACAATATCATAAAATAAATGAGAACAAAAATGTATGGAATTAGCGTGGGCGGAATTTCCAGTAAATAACGATAATAAGCTACCTAACTAAAATAACCCTAACTAAGAGTTATTTAAGATATTTATAGGATCAAAATTGCTGTAAAAATGTTGCTTGCTATGTTAATTATTTATTGTATAAAAAATATAAGATGGACAAAATATCTTTCGCAAAATTGATATTGCTCGTGTAGCCTTAACTACGACAAATATAACTTAATAATCCCAACTAATCTTAGTACTATTATAGCAAAAGTTTGAATTGATGGATTTCGTCTGGATAATTGGAAGAAAACAGGCACAAAGGTTATACATATATAGTCGAAATTAGCACATAGCCTACTTTTTATCCCAGACATACGGTGTAACATACATAAATGTTGTTCACATATTTTATTATACCCTGGTTTTATAAACAAGCACTAGGTATCTAATACATTGGCAGGGTAGTAAAACGACGTATTCCTGGTTTAGGGTTGGTTTAGTATTAGTGATAAATAAAGACCCGGAGGACGATTCGACATCGAGAAAAATAAAAACAAAGGCCAGCAGCACTTTATGAAAAAAAAACTTTAGATGGGTTGTGGGTAAGCGCAATTTAGGGGCATTTGATGATTTTTTTGAGGGCATTTGATGATTTTCCTCTCACAAAAAAGGTGACATCGTTTATAAAAAAATTACATGTTCTTAAAAAAATTTGGTATTAAAAGTATAGATTTTTCAGTATTCTAGATTTTCAAATCTATCTTCAGTATATAAGGAGAAATTACCATTTACAAGCAGCAGGCACTTGCGAGATATCTCACTCGATCCTATTTACCTAGAATTATTTTTTTTTCTATAAAAAATCTGAGGCGTGTACAGGTTAACATGAGCGACTATGAGAGCGATATTACACATTTTTACTGTAGGTAGACAGACTTTTTTTAATTCTATGAAACAATTATTAACTGTGCTTTCCTTTATTCATGTGCGACGTTCATTAAAAATAAATTACCTTTACATTTTAGTTTTTCCTTGTAGGATAGACTATCATCCTAGCTATTAAGCAAGTACACATAGGTACTCTTTTTTACGTAATTTGTAGGCAGGCATAGCCATGATTAATACTGTTTTAAAAGCAAAACCTTGTTCTTTGAAGAGTAGGTAACTATTACAGGAAAGTCATTAACGAATCGATACATTAGTCAAAATCCAATGACTTAAAATACTAATGGTACAAGGTAAGTTCTAAATGAACAACAAAAAATTCATACAGGGCGTCAAATGCATCGGCGATGGTCTTACCTATGCTAAAACCTCGTTTGTATAACCTACATTGACGTGCCCGTAAATTCCCTAGTGCGATTCGAATAGATGAAATTTGTATTATGGACGCAAAGTTTGATGCAAAATGAATCTCAGTTACGTAACGGCGGCGCAGAGCGTGCACTACAATGTTATATAGGGAAATAGAGGGATAAGTCCAAAGTCCATTATAATGTAACTGAAATTATGAATAGTCTCACATGTGATAAAGTTTACTTCTTGTAAGGGGGGAAGGTATAAACAAATCAAAAGGAACAATCAAATTATCTGGCTGTGGCGTGAGTGGCAAATTCTAACTGACTAAAAACCACCTCGTTCTTTTCCTGCGCTACGAACAGAGAAATGAATTTAAAAAATCAGGATTTTTTTAAGAAACGTTTAGATTTATAATAAAAGAGACAACAATTCAAAATATAATAATTGGATTTATAAAGATGTTAATCTCTGGATAAATCGATACTAAGTACATATTATTATTATTTTTGCCTACATCCATAATAATGTATGTAAATAAAGTATTATTCCTCATTAACTTAGAGGAAAACTGAATAATTATTTATCAAAACACGTAATGCGAACGTCGATCATCAAATTACATTTTTACAAACATGATTAGTGGGAACTTACAGTTACAATACTTTCAATATAACAACAGATCATTTACAGCCACGCAGTTTTCAGTTACTTGGAAATCTAGAGAAGGATAAATGTCTATTATGACTGGTTAGCGTTCACCGCTTTGTGACAAAGAGACCTTCTAGTTTACAGGCAGATTTAGAGAGATGATAGACAGATCGCGTTCAGCACTGCGTCGATTTATCCCGATCGACAAGAGGCAAACGATACCGACAAGTTTGATCGCAAATGCATTTGATAGGCAATCTACCTCCGCCTACCACATCAATACAATACCTGTCGACCCTCGAATACTACCCTGATGGATATCAGAATGACGGTTATGGATTTATGTTTGCTTTGCTCTTTTCGCGGCCTATACTACACGTAGCCTGACAAACACTTAAGCGATTTTTATAAACATTGTGTTATTATCCTAAAAGTCAGAGGCAAGTACTTTTTGGCTTCGTTACTATTTCCATGTTACTATGTGACTCTAATGAGGAATAAGTCTTCAGAATCGAAAAAATACAAGAAAAAGTTTAACGATATAACATATTGGGAACGATAGTAACAACAAATCCGATACCAACAAAAGAATTTTATTTAATCTTTCCGATAATGATTTGTACATTAACTTTTAGGACTGCCAGACATATTATTGAATACTTATTTACAAGTTATAGTTATACTTTCGTGAAACTTCTCAGCATAGGTACTTATAGAACCTATTTATAAAAATTTGCCCGGGCAAGACGCTCTCCCTAGTGAAATACGGATTTTAGACTCAGGTTTAAGGCACTGCTTAGGGGATCTTTTTAGGGTTGAAAAATCAAATGAATTCTCCCGCCCTAGGAAGAAGCGAGAGGATGTCTCGAAACTTATGCTGACATCACCCCATTCTTTCCCCTGGTCGGTTATGGAGGCGGGAGGTTATTGCGTTTAGGTGCAAGCAACCCGGGCTGATAGAGGGTACATGCAATTTGTCCAGATGTACAAAATGTTAAAAACGAAATCTATACATAAACGGTAGTGGCAAATCATATTTTTACTACTACTTGGGATTACCTTAAACATAATCAAAGAATTATTCTTATTAATTATTCATAACATTTCATTAGATTAGTTCTATTATTCACAGAATAAAGTATTTATATTCTTAAAGAAAAAATCAAATAACTCTTTACTCAACAAGTAATTTGATAAATCCTGATCTCTTTGTATTTGTGCCATTTCTATCGACAATATACGTTCAGTAAATTCTTGTCTGCGTTGTTAATTTAAAAGAGGTGCTGGATGCAGTATCCAAAGCATTCGCACTTTGCAGTCACACGGTTTAATAGACATAGTGCCTACATTTTATAAACATTAATACTGCGGATTTGTTTTCTTAGGGCTGATTTTTTAATGCTTAGATAAAAGTTATATGGGGAATAATTATGATGATGTCGCGTCAGAATGTTTGTATTAGAGAAGACAGTGACAGCAACAATTAATAAGCACAGCATTTGATGCAATTGCTGTTCACAATATTTACATGCTAAGCTGCTAAGCCATTTAATCTAAAAAACAACTGAGGTACAGATAAAAAAAATGTTGCCTAAACTTCAGAAAAATAAGGTAACCATTTATTTTTGAACATATTCGAATAATTATAAAATTTTAGTTAAATTCTTCATTGACTCTCGGGGAATTTGAGCTACGGTATTTACCTACGAAAAAACTGAAATTCCTGATCTTTGACTTTTAACAACATTCTTAGACGTCGCGTTATCAATTTCGATTTTTACTTTATCAATAAAAAGGGTAAAGGTATTTATCACGGATCGGTTCATGGTAGTTATTTATTGAAATTCCATTTACTAAAAATTTTACAAAATTTCTTATATTTAATTATTAGTAAAAATGATATTTTCGGCATAATTTGAAAATTATTAATATTGGGTGTCCAATCCCATCAATTCTTTTTCTTTATGTGTTTTTTTAGGACAACAATGATGGTTGTACAGTGAAGAATATGGCTAAAATGAATATTAATATTCTGGTAGTACGTATCACTTTTAGAAATATTTTGAGTAAGTAAAATCAAAGATATACATATTCTTTTTGTTTCAAGGTTTTTACTTATGGTTTATACTTTTTAGCAAGCTTTACTTTTAATTTTTTTCAGGGTTGCCCTTTGAATTTATTTTTGTAGTAGCCTAAAAAAGCATTTTTATGTGTCAACATTCTATGGAAAAAAACTTATTTGACAACTCTGAATACAAATACAGAAACAAACTCAGGTGAGTCTCTTCAAAGCTCCTTAGTTGGTTTTCAAAAGTTAACAAAGGAATATTATTCTTTCTCAGATTTTTTTCCACAAAAAAGTTTCAATACCATAACTTAGTTACTCGTCGATAACTTTTTAGATAGTAACATGTTACTAAGCGATATCTCGTAAGTACTTTTTTTTTAAATTTCTTTCAATGCATCTTGATTATATTTATCATTAGTGGTAATTCGAGACACAATAGAAGAACAATAGGAGCGCGAACGCCGGTACTCGCTTGGGGTTTGATTAATTAATCTTTATTTATGTATACTTAAGCAGCTTCGCCAAATGTTTCACGGCAGTTCGTGCCGCGGAATGCAGGTGAGGATAAAAAGGCTCTCCCAAATAAAACAGACACCTTTATGCTTTTAAAAGATTCTTACAAAACGTGGCACGCTAAAGATCTTTGTTGACACCTTTTCGATTCGATCATTAGTTTTTGCCCACTCCACTTCCCTTTACCCCATACTTTCAGTAACGATGTGTT